CACACACACACACACACACACACACACACACACACACACACACACACTCACACACACACACAGAGGACACAGTGAATGACCTACAAGTGTCCAAAGCACACAAGTGTATGTCAGTTACTGCTGGTTTGGATCAAAAATTAAATTGTAGCTTGCAGCTTTTTTTTTCTCTCTCTCTCTCTCTTTCTCTTTCAGTTTCTCGTTGCTTCTCTCCATCTCTTTGCTCTCTTTCCAATTCTCTGTATTTCAAAGACACATAAAAGAGGGATGGCTTCAGTTTGGCAGAGTATTTTAATCTTTAATAAGCATTTAGAAGAGCTATCAGCTCTAATGCTGCTAAAGTGCTTTGAAATGAATACAGAGTTGACACAGCTAGACAGAGACGGAGACAGTTGGAGAGAGACAAAGACAAACAAACAGAGACAGTACGCAGACGTTGAGACGTTCAGCAATTACGGCTCACAACACACTTTTTTAAAAGCAGGAAACTGGGAAACCGTCCTGTTTAATTGGCAGGGATCATAGTAAAAGCTTCTGTGAGAAACCGGCACCACAGAATGTGTTTATATCTTAAAGTCTTGCATCCTAAACCGGGGATGGAGTATGCTTTTTTTTTGCCACCTGTCAGTCACATAGTCTGGTGCCAGTAGCTTCACTGCAGAGTAAACAAATACAGCTAGAGAAGAGCTGACATGATACACACTGAATACTGGAATAACATGGGATTGGATTGGAAGTTATTTTCTTCACCACGAGTCAAACTCAGGTTATCTATTCTATTGGGCAGGTATTGAATTAGTAACAGATTGTGGTGGTGCATTCCCACATTGAATCAAATGTGCATGAGGTTAGATCCCTTTTTTTTGCCACCCTATGGCCATATTTTCAGTTTTGCAATCACGCATTTCCTATAAATGCCAACCTTAAGGAGAAACTTCAACGGAATGGGTCATTTCATCAACACCTAATCCTAACTACAGCAGGATGTAGTAAACATTTCTTTGGCACCATGGAGACAGCTCCAAATGAATGGAAATGAAATACTTCAAATCTATTTAATTTGATTTATTTCGTGAAAAATATGTCTAATAACAACAAAAGGCTAGGTTTTTGAAATGAGTGGCAAGAGGAGGGAGAAGAGCACATGTAAGTGGTTCATTTGCACTTTTCAAACTTTCTTGTTCACTTTTCTACAGTTGCCAACAGCAGCTCTGTCCAGTGATGGAATGTAACTAATTATTTCCCTAAGTGATGTGCATAAGTACATATGTTGAAGTAGTTTTACGTTTTCATTTTATGTTGCTCTTTACTTCCATTTCACTACATTCAGAGAGAAGTAATGAACTTGTTACACCGCTACATTTATTCAATCGCTTTAGTTATGAACATCAGATGTTACAAAACCAAGAGGAGCTCATAAAATGTGACGCATTGCTTTTCTGTTGTGGCCCACCAAACATTAGCTACACGTTGACAGATTACATTAAGTAATAATACAGTGTGCTTCTTTTACCTTTGCTGATCGTACTCTTTTTACTCAAACAACATTTTGAATACAGTGGAGCTGTTCAGTGTCCACCAGTACAAGTCTGTTGTTCTACTGGGAAGCTGCCAATTTGAGTGATTATGAGACTCTGCAACGTCTCCAAGACGAGAGCTGTTCTTAGTCAGCCAACTTAATAAGGGTTAAAAATGAACAGTGGTCATATTTCAAAGTTACTCATGCTCTATAAAACAAGACACACACACACACACACACACACACACACACACACACACACACAAACACTTTGTTCCAGAGTGCAATGATTGAATATTCATGATTCATGATTTTTTTTCTCTCTCCCCACCTCTTTCCTACTCCCCGTCTCTTGCCTCCCCCACCCTCCCTCTGTCCTCCTCTATTACTCCATCTTAATTTAATTCAAAGTGTTAAATTAGCACGAGCACTTTATACAGCATTACCAAACCACCAACGACCACCACATTGGACGTGACATCACTTTCACTCTGCCACAACTCTTATCCCTGCCCCACTTCGGTCTTTCTTTGCCATCTCTCATCTCACTGTGCTTCTCTTCTCTTTCCTCTCTCCCCCTCTAACTATCTATCTGTGTCCCTTGTTCTCATCATATTATCGACCGACTTCTGAGCTTTTCTCAGAACTGCATCATGAAATTATATTACCAGCAATAGTATCTCCTCTGCTGCCTGTGTCTAAATGCTCACAGAGTGCTAATTGAAACGGAGAGCTATTGATCGGCGCAGATCCACAGGAGTCATGTCTGTGGAGGTATTAGCTACCAGTCTCTCCTTGTGTCTGTTGGACTTCAGCCTGTTGAGTGTAGAAACCAATAATAGAGATAATAAAGCATCTGACATCATAACATGGCAACAAATAATTGATCAGACTGGTCAGGAGCTGTGTAAAAATATGCCGGTTGATTAGGAATGAAATACTCAAGGAGACTGAAAGGTCAATACACAGCTCTCATTGTCAGGGTGCCCTTAAGCAAAGCACTAGACTCCCAGCTGCTGTAATAGAGATGATCTCTGTACAACAGTTGACGTTTTGACAGCTCAGAGGTGTGACTGTGTGCAGCCGTAGACCTGTCAGGAAAGGTGCAGTTGTTGGTGAGACAGTATGCTCACTGAACCCTTCTCTGAAAAATAAAATAAAGATTTCCCACTGAGAGGAAAGTGTCTCCTCCTTGCTGGCAAAGACATAAAAGCACTTTACTACCACTATAAATACCTCAACTTCCCCTGCTTCTTCCCATCTTCTTCCCTGCTTTGCACCTCTTTCAAAAATGGTTGTGTTTTTAGACAAAAACCTCTCACAGTGTGGGTGTGTCTGGAGGAAGGACTTCTCCTGTGTCCACTTTTGTCTTGTATGGATGCAAGTGTTAATGGGTTGTCTTAACAAAAGTTCATCTTAAAGCATAATGCACATGTTGTTAATGTGTTCCTGGGGGGGGTCCAATTGAAATCTAGAAACCAGAGACGGCAGGATGTAATCAGTAATGTTATCAGGAGACGACACATGAAGCATCTTCTGAATAATGAATGAACTTCAGTGAATGAGTTGGATTTGTGGCCTGTGTTTTTACAATTATGAAATCTTTTTAATTGTATCGGTAGCGGTGGATACATTGAGACTCTGGACATGAAAGTAACTCACTCACAAGGTTGAAGCACTAATGTAGTCTGCCTGTAAAGATATCCAGTTTGGCTAACAGTCTGACGTACAGGTTGTGTTTGCCTGCCAAGCACTCTTGTGGCCTGAAAGAAACCTAATACTCGAAAACACAAACGTTTGATACAATCAGAGATGTGGGCCTGGTCATACAGAGGCAGCAGCATACCATTAGCACTGCCTTCTGCAGTGAAAGTGATTTTGGGACGTCATGGGATCCACAGGATGCCGAAAAAGTAGCATTGCTAAAATGAGCAGCTCCAGAGCAGCTTGAGTTTTTTGTTACAGAGAGTCTCGTTAATGCTGACATATCAAAGACCAGGAAAGAAGGATTCTTTTTGAGTTTTTGTATCGCTTTTGTAGCTCTCATGTAGCTTCTCTGTAAAGATTTTCAACCCTGTCAGTTTCTAATTTCCAGTTAATCGTCATGTCAGGGTCAAACGATTAACCTCTTCCCCTCTCTCTTCAGGCTATGTCAGCGATTATCTGAGTCCATCTCCTTATGATGATGTGGTGGAAAATGACTCATCGGTCATCTCTAAAGTACCCTCCCCTGGCCATCCGTCGATCATCTATAGCCGCATTGACAACACCTATGCTGGTGATATCCACGGCGATTCGGACCAGCCGGACAGCCCGCGGTCCGAGGTTTCATCATCAGCTGAGGGATACATCAACGGGGACGCGGCTGTGAGCGAGGGATACACGGTGGACGCGTTTTTCATCATGGACGGACGATCGCGGAGGAAATCCTCAGAGAACCCCAAAGGGACCATTCAGAGGCACACCTGCAGCGAGTGCGGCAAAACCTACGCCACGTCCTCCAACCTGAGCCGGCACAAGCAGACGCACAGGAGCATAGACAGCAAGATGGCCAAGAAGTGCCCCACATGTGGGAAAGTCTACGTTTCCATGCCCGCCATGGCCATGCACCTGCTGACCCACGACCTCAAGCACAAGTGCGACGTGTGCAGCAAAGCGTTCAGCCGGCCGTGGCTGCTGCAGGGCCACATGCGCTCGCACACGGGCGAGAAGCCGTTCGGGTGTGCGCACTGTGGCAAAGCGTTTGCTGACCGGTCAAACCTGCGCGCTCACATGCAGACGCACTCGGCCTTCAAGCACTACAAGTGCAAACGGTGTGACAAGACGTTTGCGCTCAAGAGTTACCTGAACAAGCACTACGAGTCGGCGTGCTTCAAGGGGGCTTTCTCCCCTTTGAGCTCACTGGGAGAATGATGGACTCAGAGAGGTTTACTTTTTTGTTTATTTAAATGAGATTTCACTGGCCTCACTCCCTGCTTCTCCTGCTTTCCCCAACAACAACAGAAGTACGCCCGCGCACTGCAAAGGAGGAGTGCTTTCTCTGCGAGCATCATGAGGCAAATGACAAAAAAACAGATTGAGGGCATGTCCCTTTTTTATCAAGATCCCTCCTTTGTCTTCTCCTTCCTCATCTGGAAGTGGAGTGAAAAGTTTCCGATGCTTGATATATATTGCCACCTGCTTCGATAGGATACATAGCCTTTTGAGGCTGTTTTGAGTATCTGTGAAGATAAATAAAGCACAGCATATCTAGCTCATCATTTTTGAAGATACCTAGATCTATTTATGTCCATATCTATCCTCGTCCCTCTTTTATTTTTTAACTCATGACAAAACAACACTGAAGCACAATTCCTCTCCCATCTCTGTCTTTCTGTGACAGGAAAATCACAGGAGTTTTATGCATGAATCACATCTTCAGTTTTCTTGCAAAGAGATTTAATGAACTTTCCTATTTAATGTTTTATAGAAAAAACAAACAAACAAACATTCATAATCTAAGGATACATCTGGTATCACGCTTTTGGTGAAGCTGACCTCGGACTGAACCTATAAGGAGATGAAGCTTCAAAACAAAGAGAGCACACAGCAGTTGTTCTCTGCAAGTAAACAAAATACTTGCACCATTTATCATTTACACTAGTGGCATGCTTTGCCTCCTGTATACTGTGCTGGCTACTGACACATTCACGCTGAACTGTGAGGGCAATTTAATGAATCCTTGTATGGCAAATTACACCATTATAGTGGGAAATTAATTAATTAATTATTTGGTGATTTTTCTTTACACGAATGTCTAAAATGGGCAAAATGGGCAAAGACAAACAAGCTATTACATTTTCGGAGTTACTTTTGGCATTTTTACTTAAGTCGACAGCAAACAGTGAAATTTGAAAGGGGATTAAAGGGACAAACTGGACTTCCAAGGCTGAAATGTCCCACTGAGCCACCAGGGTATTCCCTAAAACCTAAATCTGATGTTATTTATTTTTACTTGTCAACGTCGGACGAGGATACACACATTAAAAATGTCCTGATTTTCCTCAAAAGGTCAAACCTTTCCCAAGTGTTGTAAGATTGTGTTTTTGTTGCCAGAGGGCCACACAGTATTCAGCTTTGAAGTCTTTTTTATGTTTCTATTTATTGCCTAATTTATTTATTTATTCTTATGTTTTTGTAGATGTATTGATTTTTGCACTTTACTTTGTTATATTTTGCCTTTGTTACAAATATGCCAAAGCATTTGACACTTTCTAATTACCGAACACCTTTTTACTTTTGTCTGCCACTTTAATTATAAAAACTACTGCATGCAAAAAAAAAATAACAATAGCCTAATAATGGAATCTATGCCAATTTTATGAATCTTTGGGATGTTTTGCCAAACCTCTTAGATAACAGGCAAATTAAGCAAATTTCTGTCTTGGGCAATATTTCATTCATATCCAATAGAGCAATAATGCATGATATTTTTGATGAGACGTGAGTCATAACTGCTTGTAACATCTTGATTTTTTCAAGTACCACTATTCTATGTAGTTATGAGAAATGGAATTTCAGGGAGTTAGCAAACCAAGTTGGTGTTGAATATGGAGGGTTGGGTTAAGAGCTCTGTATTATGAGGGATTGTGGCACTGTTGTGATTCTTTGAGGCTTTCTCCAGTGACTTCTGTGATTGTTAAGTGTTTGAACAGATCAAATCAACGAGAGCAGAGTCAGTTTTCTAATCTCTGCTGATTTAGTGTGTAATATTAAAATGATTGCCTCCTAGTTATAGTTCTATCTTGGCATCATTAGCTTCTTGACAATTATGTTTGTAGAAGTATTTGGAGCTGTTGGGGCTTCCAGGGATTCACACAGACAGCACAATTTCTTTTAGGTAGAGGGCTCTGGGCTGGGTCGGGACGGGTCTTTTTGTACATGGTTTATGCACTGCCTGCCTCGTATTATTATTCTAAAATATTGTAGAAAGTAGAGGGTACTTCCGTAGGCCTCTGGTGCTGAAACGTGGATGATAAACACAAACCCAAAACAAGAACGATTGAGAGTTTTGGTATTTAGTGTGCTCCTGGTTTGAATTGCTGAGAAGGTGAAACACAACTTTACACAACAGCTGTGGTGCTGAACCTGGGGCTCTTTGACCCTCAGTAGTCTTGAGCAGGTCCCTGCTTGTGAGGTTTTAATCAGTGATGAAGAAGCAATTTCCTCCTTTGATTTGGTCAAAACCAGTGAGCTCTCTTCTCACTTTGAACCTCATCAAAAGATCGGTTTTGCTCCTCGGCTCTACACAAGACATTCATTGACAAATTTCATGCGAGGAGTCTTGAGCGATCAACACTCATCCACCGGCACAGTTTTGGTTTGTTTTACTTACCATCATCTCGAGCTGTTGTGAGGTTGTTGTGGCAATGCCCACTGCAATTATAAGGAGAGAAAGAAGAGAAGACATGTGGTCAATATTTCAGCACCAGAGTGCATCAACAAACACTTAGATTCTACTATGAACTACTGTAGCCTCCTATAGCCACAAGCTAGTTTACCTATTCTTATATAAAGCACTTCCTGTTACGAATTATATCTTACAACTTTTTTTTTTGTTAAAAGATAGTAGCACAATGAAAGACTTTAGATTCAGGTAGACAATGCCTTGTATGTAGATATAACAACCTCTTTCTCCTTTTTCTACTATGATGAATCAAAGGTTAAAAACAACAGCAAAGACGCTGACATGTCCTTAAATAACATGTGAAAATATGCTTTACAATGACACATGGTATAAATGGACACATTCATTACATGTAGTGTCATTTTTCAACATATATGTGTGAGAGCATCTTCACCACACCTTTTTTAAGAGTGAATGAAAACTCAACTATTTTGCGGCTAGAGGCCTTGTAAATAAGCACTGATGTGACTTTGGAGTCTGATTATTTCTACAGATCTGTATAGAGTGACAGTGACCATGATGATGAGGATGATGATGGTGATGATGGTGATGATGGAGATACATTTTTCTGGAGCTTCCTGCTTTGTTTTGAGTTCTTCCTCTGAGGTTTTTTTGGGACCTCCAGTGGTGGTTTGAAACAATGTAAAGCACAAAGACAACACTGGGCATTTTGTTTCACTTCGTAAATAAAAACTAGTTTAAAAAAAAGTCACAAGATGCCTTTTTCTTCATTGAACCCTTCACATGTAATCACCATAAATATTTTGCAATTATTAGTGGTAATGCACATCAACATGTCTATTTGCTTTTGTTATTTTTTTCTAAAGTTTACATTTTCTATGTGTCTACACTACTTTAAAGGGGAATTCTAATGATTTGATTTTGCACTTCTCTAAGTCTAAGTCTAAGTGCTTTGAGCTAATTGCTAATGTCAGCGTGTTAACATGCTCACAATGAAAATGGTAACATGTTGATGTTTAGCATTGGTTGCCATGTTCACCATCTTAGTTTAGAGAGCTACCGTGGAGCATTTAATAATTAGCACTAAACACAAAGTACAGTTGAGGCTGGTGAGAATGTTATTAGTTCGGCAGGTAATAAACCAGAACAAATTGAAATTTTGAGCTGACGATGGCAACCCCGATGACATCACTATGACATCATCAGGGTTATTTTCTCAGACTTGACAACGCTCCTCCAGAGCCACAGAAGACATTTTAGTCTCCGGCTGTTTTCACTGAGTAGTCCTCTTGAGGATGAGTAAACCGACCTTTAAAATTAATGGAGTGACCCTTTAAAGAAAGCATTTACAATTGCATGAAGTCCTTTCAGAGTGATCTTAACAGCTTCTACACATGACATCCCAAGTCTCTTTCCTTGCGTCTTAGTCCCTCCCACCAGGGATGCATGGAGGAATCCATGCGAGGAGAGAGGAAACGAGGAAATATGTTTTAAGAAACATGAGACCTTTCCTCAGTTGAGTCACGTGAAGCGACGTCTGTTTCTGATGACGGTGGCTGATGATCACAGCTGGATCAGATGTCAGTCGGCTTTAACAGCTGGAGAGACTTTTGAGAAGTTTGTGTCTGTTCACATGATCACTGTACTTAATAATAGTATCTAATAATACTAATAACTAATAAAGACACACAGTTATCTTCACTGCCAGAGTAAAGGTGTTGTCTCTCTGGATCAGGATCGATTTCTACTGGCGGAATGTGTTCGTCTTATTTATGAATTATTTGCATCTGTGCGTTTTGAAATTCAGATTGTGACGTCATTATTAATTAACCCAGAATATGATTATTGTTTATCTTGACTACTGGAATTAATTTATTAGGCTCCATGTTTCAGGTTAAACTTAAATTATAAAACTCATCAAATCCGACACTCAGGAATGATCAGCCTCATGTGACTAAATGATATGATGATAAATTATGTAAAAAGCTCTCTCTGACTTTCATTGTATCCATAAAAGTTATTGAGGGAAACATCAGATCACGAAAACACAAATCTTTCTAATAAATGAAGAAAGTTGTTTGTGGTCCTTTTGTTGTTCAGTCTACAATGAACATATATTTTAATGGTGAATCAGAAAACGAATCAAATATAAAGCTTGAGTTTAATCTGTGATCCGTCTTCACTGTTTACATGTTGAAAAAAATCGTATCAGTTCGATCGGCTGCAGCGTCCAATCACATGACTGATGAACAATGAGGGGGCGTGTCAGCCGTTAAAACACTTCCTGGAAGGCTGTTCTCCTGCGTCCTCGCTCATGGCTCCTCTGAGATCCCTCCTCGATTCTCGATGCTCGCTCCTGTGAACTTTCACTTTGCAGTTCTATCTGCCACCATGTGTGGTCTCCTGGGAAAATCAAGGCTTGATTTTTGGTTGAGTGTCTCAACCATTGCACAACCAACGATTACAGTGCTTTCGTTTGCTCTGGTAGCTATCAGTTGCTATCCCCAGGTAGCGGTAATGGCGGATGGTGGAACAACAGAGTAATTTCTGTTGTAATATTACTGTGTTGTTAATAAAATGAGGGAAAAAAACATTGAAAACTTTAACTGACGAAAGAAAAAAAAAAGACCCTGTTGACAGAGGAGGACAAGAAGGAGAGTGATGAAAAACGATGTAAATCAAGAGTGAACCTCGGACGGGCATTCACTCGGAGGAGAGAGCTCGAGGACCTGAGAGCATTCCAGACTGACATTCAGTTGGCATTCTTTCTACTCAGTAAGTAACAAAACTTCACTTCTTATTGGCCATTTTACATTTATCTTAGCTATGCGTACGCATACCTGGCCGATAAAGCTGATTCTGATTCTGATTCAATGTGTTATTGGTAGTTGCTAGTCTCTGAGGAAAACAGAAAGCGATCCGGTTGTCTTTGCGACAGCAACAAAAATACTTTAAAATGTTACTAGCCAGTTTAGCAGTAATAATGAAATACTTTTTAAAAGTTTCTTAAATTACCTTTTTGTCCTTTGTGATTTCATTAGTAAACAGTTAATTAGTGTTTGAAACATTTTTTTTTATTTCGATGATTTGCCCCCAGCATGAAAAAAACAGATTATCCTTTACTTTCTCTCTCTCTCTCTCTCTCTCTCTCTCTCTCTCTCTCTCTCTCTCTC